GTATGCTGTCTTGGTTACACAAACGTACTGTGTGTTGTCTTGGTTTCATAAACGTACTGTGTGCTGTCTTGGTTACATAAACGTACTGTCTGTTGTCGTGGTGTACATACATGTATTGTGTGCTGTGTTGGTACTCATAAACGTGTTGTGTGTTGTCTTGGTTACATAAACGTACTTTGGTTTGTCTTGGTGTATATAAACGTAATGTGTGTTGTCGTGGTGTACATAAACGTGTTGTGTGTTGTCGTGGTGTACATAACCGTACTGTGTGTTGTCTTGGTTACATAAACATGCATTGTGTTGTCTTGGTTACATAAACATATTGTGCTTTGTCTTGGTTTACATAAACATACTATGTGTGGTATTGGTTAAATAAATGTACTGCGTGTTTCGTGGTGTACATAAACGTATTGTGTGTTGTCGCGGTTACATAAACGTACGTTGTGTTGTCTTTGTTACACAAAAGTAATGTGTGCTGTCTTGGTTACATATAAGTACTGTGTGTTGTCTTGGCAACATAAACGTATTGTGTGCTGTGTTGGTATACATAAACGTACTATGTGTTTTCTTGCTTTCATAAACGTACTGTGTGTTGTCTTGGTTGCATAAACGTATTTTGTGTTTTCGTGGTGTACATACACGTACTGTGTGCTGTCGTGGTGTGTATAAACGTACTTTGTTTTGTCGTGGTGTATAGAAACGTACTTTGTGTTGTCGTGGTGTATATAAACGTACTGTGTGTTGTCGCAGTGTACATTAACGTTCTGTGTGTTGTCTTGGTTACATACACGTACATTTGTTGTCTTGGTAACATAAACGTATTGTGTGTTGTCTCGGTCTACATAAACGTATTGTGTGTTGTCGCGGTGTACATAAACGTGCTGTGTGTTGTCTTGGTTATATAAACGTACTGTGTGTTGTCTTGGTTACATTAACGTATTGCGTTTTGTCTTTGTTTACATAAACGTATTATGTGTTGTCTTGGTTACATATACATACTATGTGTTGTCTTGGTTACATAAACGTATTGTGTTTTGTCTTGGTTTACATAAAGGTTACTATGTGTTGTCTTGGTTCATAAACGTACTGTTTGTTGTCTTGGTAACATAAACGTAATGTGTGTTGTCGCGGTGTACATACACGTACTGTGTGTTGTTGTGGTGTACATTAGCATCAGTGTGTTGTCGTGGTGTACATACATGTACTGTCTGTAATCGTGGTGTACAAACACGTACTGTGTGTTGTTGCGGTGTACATTAACATCAGTGTGTTGTCGTGGTGTACATAAATGTACTATGTGTTGTCGTGGTGTACATGAATGTAATGTGTTGTCGCGGTGTACATACAAGTACTGTTTGTTGTCGTGGTTTGCATAAACGTAATGTGTGTTGTCGCGTTGCACAGCAAACTCAGAAGTAATATCGTTATACAAAGAAAAAAACGGAGCGTTTTCAATGTGTACAAAACTTACTATGTACAATGTAACGTTCAAGAAATATAATAATCCAGTTTAGATTGCTTGATTTATAAACTTATTCTGGTGTTGATCTAAAACGCAGCACAAAGTAGATCGGGGTCGTGGATACAACATGCTTATAGAGGTACTACTATTAAGACCGTCATTCGTAATGGAAGATTGTACGGTGGTTTTTTTGAGAAATTATCATATCGTAATAACGACTTACTATCCCCTGAAAACGACTCAATTATGCGTTATAACAATTTAGTTTTGTCATATAACGATATATCAATATGTAAGGCTATTACGATACACTTTGTTCATATTTTATAGTTTGAATTACAGCTTTGTTGTTTACACTTTAAGTTTTCTTGTCTTCCCTTTAAATTATGTTCTACAATATGTGTTGCTATAAGGAAGACCTTTAGTTACATGACAGAAGGAAAACATTTCTGTTATATCGGTTGTAGTATATTAAGGACGCTGGCGACGGACATTTGCAACACCATTAGGATCAACCATTACTACATTAACTCAGTGGTATGTGTATTCTGTTTCAGGCCGGTGCGTTAAATTCCAGGATAACCAGATGGAGACAATCCAATATGGAAACCATAGGACTAATGTCGATGACTGAACCGACCGGTCAGTACTGTGGGACTGATGGGGTAAACAACACCACAGTGAGCGATACCAGTCAATGAAATCAACAACTTGTAAAGAAAATTGACTAAAGATATTTTCAGTTGTTCATCAAATTGTCGTTATGTAATTTAGTTTCGTTTGTGGTATTTAGGGTTAACCTTTTTTTTGGAAGAAAAGAATGATATGTATCTCACAAATACACCAACTCTGTATTCCGTAATGCAGAAAATATTTTTAAATAAATGTGATACACGTGAGAGAGAGAGAGAGAGAGAGAGAGAGAGAGAGAGAGAGAGAGAGAGAGAGAGGTCACTGGGTGCCTTCAGTTAGTTGTTTTAGTGAGATAGTACTATTAAATTGGAAATAAGTCATCGGTCGACATCTTGCCCGTAACACTCCACTGATTTACATCATACACGTGTACTAGCATCAGATGCAAAGTTTCATAGAGATTGAAACACATGATGTTGACATTGTACATGTATATCGTCAAGGAATCAGCTATGCAGACACTGACAGAATATTAGGACACCTATTGTTTGAGAACGACACGATTTGGTGTACTTATCAACCAAATTATCAAAGTCATCGTTAATGGACGTAGTGCTACACTGCATGCCGACATTTCAACATCAGCACTGGCGCCATAGCATGCGCCATCACCAAATCGCTACATCTTAAAAGAGTAAAAGATATCGCCTAGGCTCAGAATCAGGTCCCATTTCTGTTCAGTTGAATACCACTTCTGTTGGCAGTAGTAGACAACAGCAAGAGGAACATTCGTGTGGGGGCAGTCGCCAGGTATTGACCGCAGGTCGGTGGGTTTTCTCTGGACACTCGGGTTTTCCTCCGCCTGTAAAACCTGACACGTCCTTATCAATCACAATAGTTGTGAATAGGACGTACAACTCAAACAAACAGATACACATTCCCTACTTCTTTGAACACTCAATTCTACTAATGAATTTTGAAAACTAAAGAAGGATCAGAGTCAGTACAAGGTATGGAGAAATATTCCGCTCAGAAATCTCACCTCGAGCTATGATTCCTGCTGAAGTGACGATAGTACACGCTGAAGTAGGCCATCAGAGGAGGATGGAACTGTTACCCTACTCCAGGAGTATTCTACAGCGCTATAATGGCCAGGAATGGACATTTAGCACTGTGACAAATTCGTGAGGTTGAAAACACACATTTTGTTTGTTTATCTGTATGGGGTTAAACGTCCTCAAATGTCGGTATAATGTACAGTAAGGTTGTACTCGATTCATATGCTGTTATATGTTATATTGTTAGAACAAAATTTGATCCACAAACGTTCCTTACATGCTTGCTTATTGAAATGTGTACCCGGCAGATTATATTTACATCTCGCATGCAAAAGCATGTGGTGCTGGCTGCTCTTCTTTGTCCATCTTTACAAAAGAGGACAAAAACAACACTAACGTGTCAGCCTGAAGTCTAGAAGTATTTTAACTATTCATATAAATAGAATACATGTCACTGCTCTTATATTTAGGAAACACCCAACAAGGAGGAAGAAGGAAGGTTAAGTCTAGAAGTATTTTAACTATTCATATAAATAGAATACATGGCACTGCTCTTACATGTATATTTAGGAAACACCCAACACGAAGGAAGAAGGAAGATTATACAACATAACGTAGACTGAGCTACCCAAGTTACGGTATTTTATATCGCTTACTTTAAGTTATTTCTAGATTTGTCAAATGTAGCACGTTTATGTTATATTGATATATTACTGAGAATCGATAATACTTTATAAAACGACAAATATGATCAATGTGACCAACCATAGTAGAATAGCCCTGTCATAATTGGCAGTGTGTCTCATAGTGCGTGTGTTACCACAATGGGTATATGAGTATGTGTGAACCAGTAGACAACCACAGAAATTATATTTTATGTGGAATTGTCTCGTTTCCACTGTATTCATTGTATGTTTATGTTGAATAGATATATTACTGAGAAACAATAATATTTTACATAACGAAAAACATGGTAAATGTAAATAAAACATCTTTCATATTTATCAAGATCTGTACCTTGTTTATGTTCTGTACCGATATAACCATTTTAACATAAACCGTTTGCAAAGTAAACTTTTAAATTGTTTTGACCACTGACAGAATTGACCCCTGTGACCGTCAATATGGGTGAAGGTCATTTATTTGATCAAACTTCGTAGCCCGTTATCCAAGTTAGCTTCTGGCCAAATATCATCACCCAATCTTAAAATGTTGAATTAATATATCTCTAAGAAGCGATACAATTTTACATTACGATAATCATGGTTAATGTAACCAACATAGCTTTGTCGCAATTTGGTAGGTTGCCGGATATTGTGTATGTTACCACAATGTATGTATGTGTATGGGTTTACCAGTAGTAAAGCACAGTTGTTATGTTTTATGTTGGATTGTCAACGTGTGCAGAGATATGCTTCAAGTTTACTTTTTAGAAGGGAATATGATCGTTAACAATATTTGATATAATGAATTGACTCTTTCATTCTGAGAGAGAAGTGAGTTTAATGCTACCTACATTAAGCTGAGCTACTCAAGGCAGGGTATTTTTTTTTATTTTTTTTTTATTGCCATATTTAGTAGATGTGTCAATGGTGAAACCTAAAACGTTTTGAACTCGAACAATGGTTAACGATCAACATTGTAAAGACTGGGCACTGCATTAAAATGCCATGGCCGCTATCGGTTGATCAACAACCGTAACATTTCATTCGGAATTTCAATTTAAATGCAGAAAAAAACTATTATAACTACCATGATTGTTACACGTGAACGTGTCCTCTTACGTAACACTTGTTCAAAACAGTGGTCACAAGACTGTGCTACCTATAGCAACCGTGTCTGTTTACTGTTTACTGTTTATTGGATATGTCACTTCTGTTGTATAGGAAATACGTAACACTGCGAGAAGAGAAAGTTACATATACTAGGCTGAGCTACTCAAGGTACGATGTGTCCTGTCTATTATATGATATACGTTTGTTTAGATTTGTCAGGTATTTGATTTAATATTAGTAATTGTATAAATATGCAGCTTCCTCTGCCCCGGCCGGGTTTTAAATCGATCCCATGCCTTTTAGTGGAAGAGGCCCGGTGTGAATCACACCGGGGCGATTGTAGGTGTGAATCACACCGGGGCGATGTTAGAATTAATCGACAGCACATTGGTCCGCATCCATAAATACGGTTGCAGTAGGAACTATTTCTGTTGATATCCTGTACAACTAGAAGCTAAACTCTGCCTAACATTTTGATAAATTATCAAGTTTATGTAGCAAGTGCAATCAAGATCTGAATTGAACGCCACGTTGGAAAGTTCGTCTCTCTTTCGATAAAGATCAGACGTCTAAATATGGGTGTCATGACCCAATATGGAAAGTAAAGAGTAAACATGGCGGCTTCAATAGTAATACTATATTTGGCCAAGCAGGCCATATCTAGAAAAGATAATTGAAATAACTAGATCACGCGTGATCTGTCATGGCCGTTCGTTTCTATTTTTTCCGCAAGACTTGGATAATTTCATGAGAGAGTTACTTTCATTGGTTCGTTTTTTCAACAATTATGCGATATTTTGATTACATTATACTCATAGGAGGTGTGCATTGTATGTAATCGTACAGAATAGCACTTTTGATTTTGCTCTATTAGTTTACATAGGACCGCTTCGTAGCTCTGACGACGCAATATATAAAAAAACACTCTCGTCGTCAGAAAGATTATTATCGAAGCTAATTTAGTATATGACTTTGAATTGATATTATTTACATTAAGACAAACATGGTTAATATAACTAACCAACATGATCTCGTCGTAATTGGTAGTGTGTCTCAGTGTGTTACCACAATGGATATATCTGTATGTGTGAATCAGTAGTTTAACAGAGTTATATTTTTTGTTGTGTCGTCTTGTTACCACTGTGTTCGGAGATATGTTTCAAGTTTAATCTTAGAAGGGTTTATGATTGTTAACAATATTTGAGCTTTCCTCTTATTATATATAGAAGCTTGCCTCTTATCATCATAGCTAACATCAATATAGCAGCTTGCCTCTTATCATCGTAGCTAACACAATATAGTAGCTGGCGTCTCATTATCACAGCTAACACAATGTAGTAGCTGGCCTCTTATCAGCATAGCTAATATCAATATAGTAGCTGGCCTCTTATCATCATAGCTAATATCAATATAGTAGCTGGACTCTTATCATCATAGCTAATATCAATATAGTAGCTGGCCTCTCACATATATGTATCATCATAGCTAATATCAATATAGTAGCTGGCCCCTTATCATCATAGCTAACACAATATAGTAGCTGGCCTCTTATCAACATAGCTAACACAATATAGTAGCTGGCCTCTTATCATCATTGCTTACACAATATAGTAGCTGGCCTCTTATCATCATAACTTCAATAGAGTTGATGGCGTTTTATCAGCAAAACTTACATTAATACCAGAATGTACTTTCATTCTTAAAAAAAAATATATTTATAACTTTTATAACACAACGAGTGTGTTTCATTCTATTCAATGCAATGAATAATTATTTTGCTATGTCATTTTAAAGACTATTTTTTTTTTGTCGAGTTATTTTTAGCTTTCTTGTTCCTCTCGCTTACCACGCTTACCATACATAAACAATTGTATAAACAGTTTGTGATATTTGTTATAACAGTTGTTATTTATATAAAACGGTGAAATTTACAATAATAAACAAAACTGTTTATCGATACAGTTCGGTGCATTTGCAAAACAAAGCTATAAATAAATACAGCTCATGGTATATGGGACTTACCGAACGCTATTTATAGCTTCAGTTCCGGGTATTGGAGAAACGAACCAGACACACTTATAAGGTTTAGATTGTTGATGAATTAAAAGTTTTTATGTCTAATTCCAGTTCGAAGTATTGAGAAATTAAAAACGTTTTCTTTAGAAACAGTTAGGAGTATTGTGGAAATAACCAAACGTGTTTTATTAATAGTATTGAGCTTTTTGAAACCACGAACATTTATACATTCAGTAATACATAAGTTAGTTTTATAGTATCTGTAACGTGTCCTTAACGAACTAGGAAGTTTAACAATATCAATACAGCTTTTTTCGTTGTTTCCATAAAATTATAAAACTAGTAAATTAATTATATATGGAATCGAATCAAATGTAAAAGTGCCCCATGTGGAACATCTTTGTGGCATATCTCTCGTCCCACGTAAGTACACCTAGAGAGAAACATTTTTGTTCTAGTTTTTGACGATTTCATAGAAACAAACATAAGAAGTGTTTAGTACCGTATCGGTTCAGGTAATTGAACGTGACGTCGATATGATACGTGACGTTATTGAATTGACAGTTTGCTCAGAGGAAGAATATCTACCGCCATCTGACATTGCCTCTAGGAAATTTACCATTTTAAAACAAATTTGCTGAGAAGTTTTTCAAAACTTTTGATTTGAAAGAATATTGATGGTATATTAAAGGTTTTTTCTGTTCTTTTCAAACAAGTTGTATTTGATTTTTTTTTAAAGATTCAAATAAATTTGCTTATCAGTTTTAAATGAATTCCATATGTGGAAGAAAAAGATTAAACCATTATATTTACATTTGGTGTGGCAAAGCCCTTCTATATTACTACTAAGGTACTGCCAATAGCAGCTTCATCTTATGAGACTATAACTGAAGTTGGTCTTTGCACCTCCGAGCGACTTAACAGTGTCACTACCGAACTTATCGGTATCTTCTGCTTTGATCCCTAACACCAGCTGCCTGTCTCAAGTGTCTGTGAGATCAACAAACAATTTTACGCCTGGATTTTTCACCAATTCAACCTTCTCCGGTTGCACGATCAACATCAACAACATGCCGGACTGCAAATATAACTCTGACCTGATTACTGCGGGCTTCCGTTGAGTGCGTGCGCCGGATATAGGTCGCAATAAAATCGGAAAATGTTTTACGACACTTGATTAGTTACTTACAAAATGTCATTTGTTACTATTTATGAATCGAGAATATGATATATATATAAATCAAAATCAATTGAATTATTAACGAAAGTTGCGGAGTCTTTTCAATTTTGTATGGGAAATAGCGCATGACGTCAGCTATTATCTTTGTGCCGTTCTAGATACTGACCTGACCTGACGGTAATAAGCGGGAAATTTGAAATTTGGAAAAGACATAAAAAAAATTGCGAATTCTTATTATGGAAATATAAATATATTGGGAAATAGCGCGCACCATTCAGTTTGTCTGTGACACATGTGGCAGTTATTCCAGTTGGTCTGCCACATCTATGCAGTTTATTGCTTAAATGTATGTCTGTCCGTCCACACTTTCATTTCCCAATATAATCTTGGAATCCGAGGGACATTGTAATCTGTCTGACATTTGACATGGTGAAACACTATGAAATGCAGATGTGCAATAAGGTTTTAAAACATTTCTGACGCCAACGTCAAGGTAACTGTTATTAACAATAAACCTTAGGAATACTCGGAATCAAAAAGTCTTATCTTTTTGAATTTGGACATGGTTATATACTGTGATATGAACATGTGCAAAAGGCGTTTTTAATTTTTCTGATGTCAATGCCAAGGTCAGTGTTACTTAAAATAAACTAATGGTGTGACGGTCAGACACATGACGGGGCCCTTGCTGACCTCTCAGTGCTCTCACTATTGATTGAAATGAATGTAACCTGTCTTAATGACTATAGCTATCTATAGCACATAGCCCTAACTACCATTTAATGTCACCCTGTTTGTAAAGACCACCTGTCTATTAAAAATGTTATCAATCTGTTACAATAGTGTCAATGCATACATATTTCATGTGATAAATGTAGGTTTTTTTGTATATACTGAAGATGATCGCTACTTTGACTTATATAAATTATATGGGTTTTTTTGTAGGATTAGGTATAATTCTAATTCAGAAAACGACAAGCTAAGTTGGTTTTGGAACATTCAATTTTAGTATTAATCAATGTATGTACAGGTATATTTGAACACTTCTGTTGGAATTTACAATAACAAATAAACCTATGTGAAGAAATCATTAGAGGTATTGTTTTATTTTTAATTACTGTCCGATGCCCTTTCCTTTGTGGAAGGACAACCATCCTGTACTTGACTTCAAAGCTTCAAAAAGAAATGATGACAGCGTAAGCGAATTTGCATTAAATTATTAAACTTGGAACAATAGAATGTTACCATTTAGCCGTTATGCATTACCCCAAATACAAATTAGGTCCCAATGTAAGCTGATCTTGGTTTTACTTTCAATATGAATTTAAATTGATCAAAGAGCATATGAGAACTTGTAAAAAACATTTATATCGCTTTCAATTCCAATTTTAGATTTATAGATGATATGTTGTCGTAGAATAACAAGTACTCTATTGAACACGTCGATCGTGTATAACCTCCACAACCTGATATCTACATGACCAACATTCTAAGATCGTGAACTTTTCCTTTTTGATAGAAATATCCCTGCCTTTGTTTGCCTTATTTATATGTCGCAGCTGATTATTTACTCACGGGGTGGATCCGAATATGAAGAATACTGATTTTGATATCGCATAATAAAGGACAAAATCACAAACCAGGTTTTCTAGGGGAAACATGCATTGATGATATGATAAGAGGAATGGCTTTAACAATATATATACGTTAGATCAGTTGTTCTTTCTGTATATTCAAAATCGACATTTTCTCAATATTGATAAGTGTTCAATTTGATTTGAATGCAAATGCCTTTTTTCTTTCGAGTAATACAACACTATTGGCGGGTGTCATCGATGAAACAGCAGACGTTAACCATTTTAATGAACCGTCTCTTCATTTTATGTCTTTTTTATTTCAGGTTTCCTGCAATTTTGTCTTCAAAGTCATCGACCAATAGGTGTATATCTTGTTGACGATATAACTGTTTTGCCCAAAGCATTAGAACAATTATGGCATCGGTAAGAAAATCAAATTTAATCTCATTTCATATATGTAAAATTCAAAGAGAAAATGCACATTTATGCAACAGAAGTGTTACTATCATTTTTTTAAACATATCAACAGCATATTTTACTAACATATCTACTTAAATATTTCTACGAGTGTTAATATAATTTATACTTATTATTTCTGCCAGTCTGAGGGAGACATACCTCCGGACATTCTATCAACACACGATGAATTTCGACTGTCTGATATTGAAAGTGTAAGTTGCCTTTTTATTGCCTTCTCTTCCAATTTTAGATTTATAGATGATATGTCGTCGAAGAATAACAAGAAATATATTGATTTTATATAACCACCATAACCTGAAATCTACAAGACTACATTTTAAGATTGTGAACTTTCCCCTTTCTGAAGAAAAAAATCAAACCATGATTTGTGCACTATGCGCGAAAGATGAAATGCTGTGCGATTTAAGCTTGCGAACATCTTTGCGCACGTTGGACAAACTGTGAGATGGCAATCATGGATGATATAAATAGAGGAATGGTTTTATCAATAGATACTATTTCGTTTGAAAACACTATAATCTTGATTAAAAGGGACGTTGACATATTATATCAAGCTAGATCTGTTGGTCTATTTGTATTTAAATTCAGTTAAAAATGTCAAATTTATAATTAATGGAACAAGAAGTATTGTATTTTTACATGTGGGTTTCTCGTCCGGTGCACTTTCGTAACTTTCCGAGATGTACAAATGCCGCAGTTGATTTTCTGAGAGAGAAACAAAATAGATCGAAACAAACGAAATGAAAAAAAAACAGGCCAATCATCCTTATGTTATCATAACTAACTGTTACCTAAACAATGTCAGATTATTTACATATTTAATACCGTACATGTGTAATACGCATTGAAACATTTGATAGAGCAAAACATACTTACCGAAAATTACGTACTTCCATGTTCATTATTAAAACAAATTCAGAATTTTATCAATCCGTAAATGTAATGAACTAATTGCACTAAATCGCACATACGTTTATTTGCGGACATATGCGCACACACGATTCCTAAATCCCAAGAGTGTGCATATCAATCGTGATATACGAATGATTGGTGCACTATATGTAAAAGCTATTTTTGGTGCACTGTGCAGTTATACAATCATATCTGATACGATATGAATATCGGTTCTTTTTAAATATCGATTTGTGTTCAATATGTGATTGGAAAGAAAATGCATTTTTTGTTTTTGGTAATGCAACATGATTTGGATTTAAATTTCATTTATTTGGCTGGTGTCGTCGATCAAGCAGGAGACGCTAAATCAGTTTTAGTGAAGCTTGCCCTGTTTTATGTAAATACGTGTACTCACCTGGACACCAATGAAGTGAGCATGTTCGAACTTTCGTCACGCTCTGGTTGCCCGCTCATACATAGTGTCGCGGGCCGTACTCACGGGGGCGAAACTGTGTTCTGTATATTAGCTTTGGTGGCTGTAAACATTGCGATGTGGTTCCTTATGAGTGTGCTGGTTTAGGAATAAACATTTAGTTATAGCACATACGATCTTTGGTGCTATTGACGATCTGGCCATGTCGTCAAATGGTGAGTTCACACGTGACCCGAACCTTGCTGTTAAGTCGTTTGACAACTCCTTATTCAAGCTTCCAAAAAATGAGTACATTGCCAAACTAATTGATATTGCCACTAATTCGGAAAGTAAAACTGCCTGGTATCGGGCTATTCTTTTCGATCGCGCCAAGGATATTGAGGGTTGTTCTGTTTCCTCGCTTTTTACACGTAAGAAAACTTTCAAGGGCCAATCCTATATGAAGTATGCGAAAGACTGCTATGATTTACAACAATTTATAAACGGTAAGTCCGTAAGCGAGATAGCAGATATCTTCTCTTCTGAAAGACTTACTAGAACAAATAGTTAGCTTGATACCGCAGTAATGGGCGTCCTGCTGGGTGTCTTCGGCAGTATGTTTCAGGGAGGTAGCACTATAAAGTCGGCATCAGTTCCGCGCTATCACAAGGAGATAAACACGAACATATCGCAGCCTCCCAAAATACACACACATACACTACACGCATGCATCTTGCACACAGGGCAGGCCGTCTTTAAATTACCTTAGCTGTTAATAGGACGTTGAACAAAATCAAACCAAACCAAACTGCTCGGGCAAGATCATGGATGGGTCCCCTGCTCCTGTCTCCCGCTCCGAGTTTGATTCTCTAAAGCTGGAGCTAGTGAGTCTTCGCACAATACTTCATGAATCGAGAGAGACCTCAAAACTCCGAAAAGAATCGGCGGTAGAGCTTCAAAAGAAATTGGACAAAGATATGTCGTCTCTAAAATCTCACCTTAGTAAGGCATGTGAGGCTTTTGATACAGTCTTCGATATTGATCTTTCCAAAACAGTTCCCAAGTTGTATTTTGTTGAGAGTATCCACCTCCTGGCTTCTAAACTGGTGTCTCTAGAGAAATTCAGGAAGTCGACAGACTTGTTTATCACTAACATTTCAAAGTCGATCGACGGCAATAGTTGTGGAATTTCGCGTCTTAACGATGACCCATTTGGTAATGCCTCAGCCATTCACAACGACGTTCGTGATATAAACGGACAACTTGCCATCTTTGAGGGTGACGTACAGACAGCTATATCCAACGCGTCCCCTATTGTAAGCGGAGTGTCAACTCTGAAATCGCGTATGCGGCAAGTTGAGTCTGACATAAAAAAAAAAATGTCACAGAAAAGGCTAAGCAAACAACAGACATTGGCGTTAGAGCTTTTGCAGAGGAACTTTGGACCCAGTTAACAAAATTGAGGAATTCGTTCATGATAGCTTCAACTTACCTCCCAAGGAGAAAGGCCTTCCATCACCGACTACTCCCGGCTCCGTCCTGTCCTTCACCCTTGACAATTCAGTCACACCGACTCGAATCAATCCGGTTTTCCGATTTCCAGTCAACATGCGTCAGATCAGAGCCTATCATGTAACAAGTCAACACCGTTGGAAGTTGCTTTAACATCTGGCTTCGGTATCACAAACATTTTCTTAAATCTCAAGCTCAAATCTTAAGTTTGAACTCAGCTGAGATTTACCGCCAAATGGGTATCACAAAGCTGGTAAAGCTTAAGCTCGGCTGGTTAAACTCAAGCTCAGCTGAGCTTGCCGACGTAAACTTCCGCTGAACTCTTCACACCTAAAAGAGCACATTTATCGTATCAAAACTGTGCAGTTTTTCGCGCGATGTCGCACTTGTTGTGTGTCAAATCACATGTTTACGCTGAAAGAATTTTGAAATAATTTAATATTATTAAACGAAGAAGAGGTATAATCTTCGTAACAGTTTTTAAGTACAATAATACTGTTTTTAACAACATGCATTTTCATGCGATCGATTCCCGTGTCCGTCAGTTTTCGAGGTAAGCAAAGGCAAAGGTGTTAGAAAGCTCCTATGATGAAAATAAAGATTAATTTGAAACCTGTGTGGTCAAAAAGATTCCGTTAACGACAAAGATCTAGAGGAAATGGCTACGTCGCGGACTTTGCGTTTACTTTGCACTCAATACTTGGTACCACGACGTGATCAAGAATGTACTACAGGTGCGACACAAAACGGGTGAGTGTTATGATTCTCTTTCTTTAAACTTAGGACAAGAAATTAAGTGACATTTTTTTGTGTAAAATTTAAACACGCCCAATAACCACAGGTCTACCAATCGAGACTGGGAGATGTATTGTACATAGTCGTGACTCAAAGACTATTCATAGTAAAACCTAACTTTATTGTTGGTACTTTTAAGTGACATTGCCTAATACATGTAGCTAATCAAGACGTGTATATATTCCTTCGATTATACAATACACATGTATATATATGTTATATTTTGAGGTGAAGGTGTTCGATATAATATGTCTAAAAACGCACTTTTTAAAGTGAAGCCTAATAGATATTGTCCTTGATTTCCTTAATCCATCACATTTTACAAGTAATAGACTAACATTGTTGCAAACATTTATTAAATACGGGTTTAAAAATGTCCACATGAACAATATTCATTTCTTCTGGTTACTTTACGTTGTCATTGATCGTCATTTAATCATTATTGCAGTTGGCATAGGTAGTGAGAAGTGATTCCTTATAATGTGAAATGTAGTAAATGCAGAAAATCTTGTATTATGGAAATTTCCAATCCACCTCCATCTTTTTTTCAAATCTAAATATTTTTTTGTTAAAATTATCTATTTATATACATCATGTTATCTACATGTACCTATATGTACAGTCCCGTGCCAAATTAAAGTTCACAGTTATCTTTTTCCCTCTTAATTTCCTGCATTTCTTCATATATCAGTGAGTTTTCCTGATCTCATTTATAATGTTACTTATCGAGAGAAATATTTAAAACATGAAAGAGAGATATCTGAATATTTCTTTCACAATACGGTTAATTCTGTTCATTGAGCGATTTTCAAGATGTGCCAATTATTATGCAAAGGAAACTAAACTTTTTGCATAACGTCATTTTGTTCTTTATCTTACTAAAAGTTTATGGTAAAATATGTAATTCCTGAGATCACCTGTTGTATCTTGAAAACTGCGAAACTGCAAATTATGAAAATATAACGAGAAAAAATAACCCCAGACATTTAATGGATTTTAAAAGCCATGCAATCGTATGTACATGTAAAACAACGACCGTTCACAGAATTATACCATATGTATATTTTTTTTTATCTAAATCTGTTGGATATATCTACATACACATTTGAAGATTGCAAATACACCGCAGAACACCTGTGGTTTTAAAATACATGGTAGACATTATGTAGTAAATACCATGTGGTGAGATACACATGGACCTGATAATTTGTAACCGCTATATTTGGACCTAAACTATTTACTCTGAACACCTTAGGTTAGGTCTAAATATAGCAGTAACACATTATAAGGTCCCTGTGGCATAATACTCCAATCTAGTCATTCCTTTGCCCCACTTTTATCAATCATTGAAATCATGTTTCACAAGGAACTTATTTTTGCATATGTATGTTAAGACTTTGTTTGTTCAACTGGTACTGTATATACTTTGGTATAAAATAACATATATTAAAACTACTTGGTTTAAAACCTTAAATGCTTTCATGGATGATAAGTCGCTGTCTGGTGCATTTAATTACGTCCCGCAATGTATTTAGTATTACTGATCATGGTCAGTAGGCGCTTCTAACGATCAGACGA